GGCATATTCATACAATGGAATACTGTGCCACATTGAAAAATAAGGAATTAATGCAGTATTATTCAAAATGGGTGACCCTGGAGGACATTATGCTGAGTGGAGTATCTCAGTCACAAAAGGACAAATACTGCATGGTGCCACTGTTGTAAAACAGGACTGACATCTCGGTTGGGGGGAGACTGAGAAAGATGGGTCAAATAATGTATACTGCATTGAAACAGATGAGGGAGAAAACTGTTTAAAAGAGATATGTGATTAGGTATTTTTGTCATGTTTGGAGTCCAGAGCGAAGGCAGCATAGTGGAATGAACCTGGGGGGAGGGATTGTAAAACAATGAAAGAATCTTTCTTTTACTTTTCCAAGAGGGGAGTGTACTGGGGCGGGGGGAGGGTTGGGAGGGGAGGAAAAGGTAACAGTGAATGAATGGAAATCCAAAGTCTCTGTAAATTTTCATTGAAATTAATAATTTTAAAAAAACAAACACAAACCAAAAAAACCTCATGGGTTTGATTGTGAATCCAAATAAAATGAAATGGTTGACAACTTTGATCTTTTTTCCATGTATCATGTTGTTTATTGATCTAGTAGTGATGATTTTTGTTTTCATGGTGCTGAGCTGTATCCTACATGAAGGTTGACATCTTCACTCTTTTGCAGTAAATGCTTCAAGTTCTCTTCACTTTCTGCAAGCAAAGTTATGTCATCTGCATAATGCAGGTTGTAATAAGTCTATGTGATTTTTCTTCATATGGTTAAATCATGTGCTCAGCATACAGACTGACTAGGTATGGAGGAAGGATGCATATGCATTTCTACACATATGTATGTATAGAATAGCTCCTTGGATTTCCCCCCCCCAATAGGCTGTTTTTCTCTTTTCCATTTATTTATGTAGTTCTTCATTCAATCATTTAAATCGGTATAGATTCATAGATTTTTTTGGCTATAATACAGTACTACCTCATTTTTTTAAAAAAATTCATGGTGTTACAGCATTGACCTTTAGGAGCTCTTTCTGTTAGCTTTTAGGTTTTGCATTTGTCTTGTTTATTTTTTAACAGTTTCTTACTTTCTAGATGTGTGTCTAGATTTTATGTCAAGATACACTGTGCTTATACTTTGTATCCAAGGAGCCCTAGCTCCCTCTATTCAACAGATTTAGAAACCAGGATCTTGGTGTAAGATATACTTATTGCTACTAGGTGCTCTCAGTTGAGAAAGATACCATTATCTCTTAACATACTGAAAGTTTGCTTTATACTTAATCACTTTTTACAGAGACCTCACCAAAAGAATTCAGAAGAGTATTTTCACTCTTAACAACAACAGGGTAAGAAGTGAAAAGAAAAATGAAGTATTCTGCATTTCTTTTGCATAGAACCATTAAAGAGGCATCATATGTCCAAGCAGCAAGAGTGGTTTGCGAGCTTCTTCCCTAGGAACTCCACTCTGCATCTCAGCATCAGTCCAGCAGAGCTTTCAGCTGTCTTATTTTAGATTACACATGTTATTTAGTATGAGTTAGAAGGTTTTATTTATGTGTTGTTTAGTAGATTATCTTTACGTCTGAGAATACTCAGTGTTTGCCTATACAGATTAATAGTGATTGCTTCTTAGTTTTATGTCACTCCAGCTTATAGAATATTTCATAGGAAAACTTACTTTCAGATACCCCAACCCATCCCACTACCATAAAGTCGGTTTTGGCGCACAGTGGGCCTCCATTTGATTTCGAAGGCCATATATCTTTTGGGATGAAATTGCTAGCCTTTCTACTGAAGAGTGCCCAGTGACCCTTTGGTGATGATGGTGGTGGTGGTGGTGGTGGTTATGTGCCATCAAGTTGCCAGTGACTCATAGTGACCCTATGTACATCAGCTCTGAAGCCTGTCATGTCCTGAACCAGCCTATCTGACTCCAACACACCTACCCTCACTGCTTCAGTTACTGTTATCAGTCTATTTCATCTGGGGTCTTTCTCTCTTGTGCTGTCCCTCCACCCTTCCAAACATGATGTCCTTCTCCACATGCCCAAAGTATGTGAAATGGAGCTTCAAAATCCTAGCCTTCAAGAAGAAATTTGGTTTCACTCTCTCCAAGAGATACCTATTTTTCTTGATGGTCCATGGTGTGTTCAAGACTCTTCTCCAGCACCACACCTCAAAGGCTTCTTCTGTTATCCTTATTTATTATCCAGTTCTCTAATATATAGCAAGTAATTGTGAAGACCATGGACTCGATCAGGCTCACCTTAGTCTCTAGTTCCTTCATTTCTCTTAGTCTCTTAGTTTCTTCTCAACACTCTGGAAAGATATCTGACAGCAGATTTACCTAATGTAATTCATCTTCTGATTTCCTGACTGCTGGTGCCAAGACTGTTGATTATAGAGTGAGGAAGCTCACATTGTTAACAACCTCAATCTCTTCTTCATCCATCATGGTGCTGCAATTGGCCCTGTGGTGAGAATTTTTATTTTCTTGATGTTGAGCTTCAATCCATATTGAAGACTACAGTCCTTGACCTTCTGCAGCAAGTGCTTCAGGTCCTCCTCAGATACAACAAGACAGGTTGTATCATCTACATAATGTAGGCTATTGATGAATATTCCTCCAATACTGATGCCACATTTCTCTGCATAAATACCAACCTCCTGAATGATCTGTTCTGCATGTAGTTTGAAAAGGTATGGAGACAAGACACATCCCTGATGCACTCCCTTCCTGATTTTTGAAGCATGCAGTGTTTCCCTGCTCTGTTCTGAGGACTGCTTGCTGGTCAAAGTATAGGTATCACATAAGCACACTCAGGTGTGCTGGGATTCTCATTCTCCTCAAGGTTAACTACAATTTGTTGTGATCTATAGAGGCAAATGCCTTTGCATAGTCAATGAAACACAGATAGAAATCCCTCTGATACTCTTTGCTTTCTGCCAAGATCCAGCTGACATTTGTGATAAGGTATGTAGTGCCACAGCCTCTTCTAAACCCTCTTGTATTTCTGGTAGCTCTCTGTCATGTATTATTCCAGTCGTTTCTGGATAATCGTAGCAGGATTTTGCGTGTGTGTGATATGAGTGGTACTGGATGGTAATTTTCATACTCTTTCAGGTCACCTTTTTTTTGGAATGGAAATAAATATGGATCTCTTCAAGTCAGTTGGCCAGGTAGTTGTCCTCCAGATTTCTTGATACAAACTGGTGAGAGCACAGCATCTGTTTGTTGAAATATGTCAGTTGGTAATTCATTAATTCATGAGGCTTTTATTTTTTGCCATGTCCTGCATAGCAGACTGTGCTTCCTCCTTCATCACCTTTGCCTTTTGATCATAGTTATTTCTTGAAATTCTTCTGTATCTGCCAACGCTTTTTGGTACAGTGACTCTGTATACTCCTTCCATCTTCTTTTAATATTTCCTGGATCATTCAGTATTCTGCCCCTAGCATCCTTAGCGGCTACTTTATCAGCAGTATTCTGTATGTTCTATTGAGTTTCATTGGCTAAAAAAACAAGTTTGGTAAAGTTGAGCATAGGTGAAAAGGAGAGAAACCCTCAATAAGTTAGATTGACACAGTAGCCGTAACAATGTACTCAGGGTGTCCTTTTCTAGCCCATGACCTTTCCTGATGATATGTCTGAAGTCTAAGACAAGTCAGACTAGTCAGAGCCATGCCATTTTTGCTTCTAAGGAATATTCTCCTTACTTCTCTTCTAAACGGATTTGTTTGTTTGTTTGGCAATCCACTGTGTATTTGGTATTCTACATACCACACACACACACACACACACACACACACACAGTTTCAAGACACTGGCTCTTCTATTTCTTCTTCATTATCCAACTTTTGCAGTTGTAGTACAATAGTTAAAGCATTAAACTGCTAACTGAAAAGATGGCAGGTCTTTGCTATGCATCAGAGGCTGGACAGTGGCTAAGATGATAGAAGAAGAGTTGATGCCTGTAGAGCTGTGGTGCTGGAGAAGTGTATTGAATACAATGGACTGCTAGGAGAACAATCAAGTTCATCCTGGAGAGTGAAGCCAGGCTGCTTATTAGAGGCAAGGATTCTGAAGCTTTGTCTGACATACTTTGGACACCTTGCAAGGTGGGATTAGGTCTTGGACAGGGACGTCATGCTTGGGAGGGTGGAGGGACAGCGCAGGAGAGGAAGACCCTTGATGAAATGGATTGATTCAGTCACTGAGATAATGGGGATAGGTGTATCAGAGACGATAAGATTGGCAAGGGGTAGAGCAGGGTTGTACGCAGGCTGTTGTACGTAGGGTCGCTATGAGTCACAGGCGACTCGACGGCACATAAAAATCACCACCACCAAGCAGCTACAGCATGAGAGAAAGGCGTGACAGTTTGCTTTAAAAAATTTTAATTCAACCTCATTGATGTTAAGTGAGAACAGGCTTACAGACTCTCCATTGGGTTTCCAAGACTAGGAGTTGCATGGGAGGAGATTACTCATCTTTCTTCCAAGGAGCACCTGGAGCACTCAAACTGCTAGAGAGCCGCCTCTTTTGGGTTAGCAGCACAACTATCTTTAAAAGTGCCCCCAAAGCCTTGGAAACTCTATGGGACAATTGTATAGGGTCTCACAGATTCACTGTGGGTGAGAATCAACTTACTACCAGCTTCCAGTGGGTACCCACTTACTCATCAAAGTGAGATCTTTGCTTATTAGACTATCAGTGAAAATAATAATTTGTACAAAGTTACATGGATTATTTTGTGCTTTGAGACTGTGTTAAAAAGATTAGATCATTTGATGATTTAAATAAGCTTCTAGGCTGTTTAAAATGGCTATAATTAAGATTCATGTTCTTGTAAAAGCATTTCATACTTGCTAAAATAGCACAGTATTTCTCTTTTTCACCATCAAGCAGTATATTTTAAAATGTAAAATTATTTTGGTTATTTTTTAGGTAAACTATTTCATTAAATTAGAATTTATGTTCCTGTAAGTGATAATATGTTTTGTTTTGTTTGCAGCATTCATTCAATCGGAGAGCATAATAGAAGTTCTTCGCTTTGATGATGGAGGGTTGCTGCAGGTAATTTTGTTTTAAATTGAGTAATTATTCTAATGCCAAATATTAGATTGAATACGATCTGATCATTTTCTTTAAAATGTCACTACTTTATAAGTGGAGTCCTGCCGACAAAAGCCAATTTTGATATTGTTGTTACGTGGGGCCCAAACAATTACATCTCATAGCAATCTTATGAGCAAAAAATTGGAGTCTTAACCCTTACCTATACCATCCTCTCTGCCTCTAATATACTTGAGCTCAGTGTTACAGTCACTTTTTTTGTGTATTGGTGTGTAATCCATCTTGCCAAGGGTCTTCCTTGCTTTTTCTGACCTCCCCTTTTCTAAGCATTATGTCTTTTTCTAAGAATTGCTCTCTTGCCTTTTCTGAGACAGATATACTTGTTCTTTCTGCCTTCCATGGGATACTCAGTACTCTTTTCCAACACAGTTCTTTTCTCCAGTACAGTTCAGTGTCATTGATTCTTCTTTCATCCTGATTCATTGCCCAATTTCACATGAATAGGAAGCTATTGAAAATACTGTGGCTTGAGCTAGGCTCACCTTATTGTTTAAAGTGACTTCCTTGCTCCTTAGTGCTTTGGTGAAGTCCTTGACAGCAGATTTTCCCAGTGTAACATGTTTTTTTGTTTCTTGACTGGTCTTGCCATGCATATCAATTGTGGATTCAAGTGGAATTAAGTAATCGACAACTTGAATCTTTTCTGCATCTATCCTGATGATGCCTCTTGATCCAGTGGTGAGGACTTATGTTTTCTTGATGTTGAAATGTTATCTGTGATGAAGGCTATAGTCTTTGAACTTCTGCAGCACTTCAAGTGTTCTCTCCCATAGAATGGCTGGTGAATTTCTACTGACCTTTAAATTAGCAACTGTTTGACTATTGTACCATTAGGATTCTTACATAGTAGTTTAAATTCTTAGTGTGGTAATTCCAACCTCTATGTCATATCAGATGTTTGGTTCAGCACTTTAGGTTATATTTTTCCTGCCCTTTATCATACTTTGTAATTTTTAATTGAAAGCTGAACATGTAATAATGGAACATGTTGGTGGATGGTGGGAAATAACATGAGGGTGGATGTTATTTGAGCTAGGAGTTATGTTTAATATTTACACCCTCAGAAATCCAAGCTTCCCTAAGTATGCCTCCTCAGAAAAAGTCTGTTTCTTGTAGAACTTTCATTTGTCTGCTGTTAGTATCATTGCTGTATATCATCGAGTTAGACTCTACCCATAGCTTACCTTTCAGCAGGTTTGCAGAGGCAGTAAATCACAAGGGAGAACTGCCTGGCAAATTTGAACCACATTCCTTTGCTTGGAAGGGTGAAGGGACAGTGCAGGAGAGGAAGACCTTGGATGAGCTGGTTTGACTTAGTGAGTGGGGTAATGAGGGTAGGTGTGTTAGGGACAGTGAAATTGGCTCAGAATAGGGCAGGGTTCAGAGCTGTTGTACATAGGGTCACTATGAGTTACAGACAACTCAATGGCACATGTCAACACCACCACCTTTGTGTAGGTTGTTAGTTCTTTACCACTAAGCCACTAGCTCCCTACTGTTAGTATACTGGAACCTTTTTAGTATAATGCTCAAGTTTTCTGGTTAAAAATTATGTTCTTATCGTGAGCGTGAGTTTCAGGCTGTATCTTTCATGAGTGTTTTTCTGCTTTGGATGAGACCGGAGGTCTGGAGGGGACTAAAGTGGAAGGAAACTCCTTTTCCAGCTATGGTGAGGCTCTAGTGCTCTCTTTGCCTTTCCTTTGGTGAGCTTTTCCTGACTAGCATAATCCTTTGCTTTGGTATCTGTTTAATAACTGCTCTGTAACTGCAAGTACTACAGGCAAAGCCACAGCAAATGATTCTTATAGTATGTAAGTCTAGTTAATGAACAGATTTGTTCATGTTGCACCAGGTTTAATTTTGGTAAGAATTTTTATTCCATTCATTCATTCATCCATCCATCCATTTCTCTCTCTCTCTCTCTCTCTCCCTCCTAACAAAAGTACTTCATCATGAAAAATTTCAAGCCTTCAGAAAAATTACGGTTTGTTTTCTCTAAAGAGAGAATGTTTAACCTCTGTCACTTCCTCATTGATCATTGTGCTGTTTTGCTGTATTATGTATATGCATGATTTCACCTAAGTTCTAGAGTTGTGTTTGAGCATTCATCCTGTGATATTGCCTGTGTTCCTATTGCTTTTTTCTTTAGATAGCTTTATTGTATAGTATACCTTGACCTTCACTATGTGTTTCCATTTTGGCTTTGTGGCATGGCTTATAGCTATTAGTTGTACATTCATTTCAAGTAAATTATTTTTATAAGACAGTTGCTTAATTAATGATTTTAAAGAATGGATATCCTTTCATAATAAAATGTTAAACAGTTTTTTTTTTCTTTATTGACATGCTAAAAAAGAAAATAAAAATACAATAGTAGTTATATTTCGATGGAACTTAGAAGAAAGAGAAATGGAAAATTAGGTTGGTGGGCTGGGTAGGAAACAGATTGTGTTATATCTTATAAATAAATCATGGATTATGTTTACTGCTAATATAAGAGTTCTGAAGGCAGAGGAGAGACGGAAAGACTTCGTTTTATTTAAGTTTAAAAAGGACATTGTAAGAAATCTGATTATACCTATTTACCTATACATAAGCACAAAGACTATTAGCCTACATACACAAGTGCCAAAACATTTTAAAGAAAATTACAAATAGCCTGACACTTCATCCCAATGAACACCTTAAAAAAAGACGTTTTTCTAAAATACCGTTCAAAAGAATATATGCTTATAATAAAAATTAAGTAACTTAATTGTGTTCTTGTAAAACCTATTCCTAGACCATGAGGCTAATTGTGCGAACAGAGCAAGGGAACACTACATGGTTTAAAATGAAGAAAAGTGTATATCAGGTTTGTATCCTCTCTCCATACCTATCCAATCTGTATGCTGAATGTGGCATCATGATAGAAGGAATTCTCATCAGTAACCCTTCATATCAAGCTCACAACCACCTTGCTTGCTGAAAGTGAGAAGGACTTGAAGTACTTTCTGTGGAAGGTTAAACACTGTAGCCTTCAATATGGATTGCTTCCCAACGTCAACAAAACCCCCAAAATTCTTACCACTGGACCAGTAGGCAACATCATGATAGATGGAGAAAAGATTGAGGCTGTTAGTGACTTCATCTTTCTCAGATCCGCAGTCAGTATACTTGTTACCAGCAGTCAGGAGGAGATCAGGAAACTTACTGCACTGGGACTGTCTGCAGTCAGGTACCTCTCCAAATTATTGAGGAGCAGTAATACCAGTTTGAGAACTAAGGTGCTCCTGATTCAGATCCTGGTTTTTTTCAGTCACTTATTATGTATGCATTTGAGAACTAGACAGTAACTAAGGATGACAGAAGAGGAATTGAGTCTTTGAGCTGGTATTAGATAAGAGTACTGAATATCCCGTGGATTGCCAAAAGAACAAGCTTATGTTTTGGAGAAGGTACAGCCGGAGTGCTCCTTGGAAACAAAGATGACAAAGCTTTGTCTTGGCATGTTGCTAGGAGAGGCTATTCCTTAGAAAGAGATATCATCCTTAGAAGGGTGGAGGGATGGTAACTACACAGTGGACTTGAGTGTGTCAGAAAGTGTGAGGGCACAGGACAGGACAGGGTTCAGATTTGTTTTTCATAGAGTCACTGTGGGTCAACTCAGTGGTATCTAACAGCAGCAGTAGTAGTAAAAGGTAGGGAATGCAGGTGGCCTAATTGTAAGAAATAATACCCCAACTCTGCTGCATTTTCTGATTGTTACATAGCAGCTGAACATTCGAGATAATTTAACTAATACTGCTTCTTAGATTTTGGTGTTTTTGCAGACACTATTTTTATAATACATTGATTGTTTTCCAACTTCTGTATTTCTGTTGACCTTCTCTAGTGTGTTCTCTACACTAAAGCCAGAATAATGTTTTTTAAAACGTGACGTAAAGCCAGATCTGTTCCTGACTCTTTCCTGACCTTCCGAATTCTTGTGGTTAGTGTATAACTTGATCTATGATTTATAGATGCTACAGTGTCTATCTTTGTTTCTTTGATTATGCAAAGGCATTTGACTGTGTGGATCATAACAAACTGTGGCTAACTCTGGGACGAATGGGAATCCCAGACCACTTGATTGTGCTAATGCCAAACCTGTACTTGGACCAGGAGGCAGTTGTCAGAACTGAGCAAGGAAACACTGCATGGTTCAAAATTGGGAAGGGTGTACGCCAGGGCTGTATTCTATCTCCATACTTTTTCAATTTTTATGCAAAACTGATTATCCAGGGGGCTGGGTTCTGTGAGGAGAAATGTGGCATCAGAATTGGAGGAAGACTCATCAACAATCTGTGTTAGCATATGACACAAACAACCCTGCTTGCTGAAACTTAGGAGGACCTCAAGCGATTGCTGTGGAAGGTCAGGACTGCCATCTTCAGTATGGATTAAGGCTCAATGTCAAGAAGACAAAGATTCTCACCACTGGGCCGATCAGCAGCATCATGATGGATGATGAAGATACTGAGATTGTTCACAGTCTTGATTTGATTGGCTCCACAGTCAACACTCTTGGCACCAGCAGCCAGGAAATTAAAAGATGTATTGCGATTGGAAAGTCTGTGGTTAGAGACCTCTCTAAAGTACTGTAGTGCAACAATGTCAGTCTGGAGACTAAGGTGCGCCTGATAAATGCCATGGTCTTTGCAATCACTTGCTATGCATCAGATAGCTGGACAATGACTAGAGATGATAGAAGGAGAATTGATGCCTTTGAGCTGTGGTGTTGGAGAAGAGTAATGAATATATCATGGGCTGCTAAAAAAACAAAGAGGTTTGTCCTGGAGAGGGTGAAGCTGGGCTGTTCCTTGGAGGCAAGGATTCTGAAGCTTCATCTGACATACTTTGGACATGTTGCAAGGAGGGACCAGTCCTTGGAGAGGGACGTCTTGCTTGGGAGGGTGGAGGGACAGTGCAGGGGAGAGGAAGACCCTCGGTGAGATGGATTGATTCAGTGGCTGGGGTAATGGGGGTAGGTGTGTCGGAGATAGTGAGTTTGGCACTGGATGGGACAGAGTTTAGGGCTCTTGTACATAGGGTCGCTATGAGTCGCAGGTGACTGGACGGCACATAACAATAACAACAACACACAGTGTTATTTCTTGTTGACCGCCCAGTGTCATTTTCTATTCCTTCTTAAAATTCAGCAAAATGACTTTTTTTTTTGTTAGCATAGGAAGCTTTTTTCATTACAAATAGCCCTCAATTTAAGACTTGAGTTATGATAAACTGCATTTATATAATTATTTATATAATTATAATCTGATTGTTTGTCAACATTAGTACACATTGTAATGTATAGCTTGGTATACTTTCTAGGATATTCACTTACAGATATTTAAATGTTATGATTTACTGTTTAAAACACTGCCATTTGACAGGTGAAAAGGCCGATCCTTGGAAAAAGACATCATCCTGGAGAAGGGTAGGAGCAAGAGCGGGAGGCCTACAACAAGATGGATTGGCACAGTGACCTTAACAATAGGTTTGAGCCAGAGTTGGTGAGGATAGTGCAGGATTAGGGCAAAGTTCAGATCTGAGTTGTTTTGTTTTATTGTGATTTCAGTGAAAGTTTACAAAATGGTTGGGATTTCCATTCATTCATTGATGCATATTTTCCTGCAACTTATTTTGTAATGTACATGTTGTTCTGCATTGCTAATTGTTGTGCATATAATGCCTAATCATCCATTCCTTTCATACCAAATTCCTTTCATTCCATCCTTGGCATCACCTATTCCAGTGCAGTGTTCATCATCTGTCTGTGCTTTTCTGGTGATTGGCCTTTTGTGACTGAGATACTCATTCAGATTTATAGGGTCCCAGTGAGACCAGTAGGCCACTCCACCGTACCTAAAAGCAACAGTGAAAGCAGAGATAGATGTGCTCAACTTACTTCAGAACCAAGTTATGACAAGGTCCTTAAAATGGAACCTTGTTATAAATTGGGGACCTGCATTAGGACCTCAGCACATAATATTTTCTGTACCATCTCCACAAACCTGCCACTTTCTTTTATGCTCCTGTCTGCTTTGCAGTTTAAATGTTATTCTAGCTACAACTTCCCTTCATGACTCACTTAGGCATTTCATCTATTTGCTCTCTTTCACAGAATCACCGTATTTGATGTTGTTGCTAATGCCGTCAAGTTGCCTTTGACTCATAGCAACCTTCTGAACCCTGCTCTATCTTGAGGCAACATTATTGTTTCTGACACACCTACCTCCTTTACCCCAGTCTCTGAATCAGTCTATCTCATTGAGGGTCTTCCTCTCTTGTGCTGTCCCTCTACCCTCCCAAGCATGTTAGCCCTTTCCAAGGACTGGTCCCTCCCTATTTGACGTAAACACGTTTCTTTACTTTTTAAAAACTGCTAATCGGCACTGTACCTTCAGTCCTACTGTGGCAGACTCCATTAGATAGAAGCACTTAGTATCTATAATCTGTTGGTGTGCATCCACTTCCGAAATGGCTTGCCTCCGGAAACTCTATGTATGAACAGTGCTCAGACCCTTTCATAGGGTCGCTATGAGTCGACTACAACTTGACGGCACCTAACAACAACAACAACAACAACAACAGTGCTGCTTTAGCAGAAATACCACAATGGGATAGCTTTACCAAATGGAAATTTATCTTCTCATAGCTTAAGAAGCTAAAAGACCAAACTAGGGCACCAGTTCTAGGGGACGAGCCTTATCTGCTTCAGGCTTGTCTCTCACTTCTTTGGTAATCTTTGCCTGACATTTTTCTTCTTTCTTCTGGGCTTACTTGCTCCTTTGCCTAATCTGTTCTTTGTATATGTCAGAAAAGATTGGCTTAAGACACCTTCTATAGTGAAAATGCCTTCTTTAACAAGAAAAGCTCTATTCACATAGAGGATTATATCATAGGTATGTTGTGGTTCAACATATGTGCAGCTTAAGCCTATCCCTACCATTAGCCATCTTTGTGGGCTAATATTTTAACACATAGTTTTGAGATCACAGATCATTGGAGAGCAGCCTACACAGTTGTTTTAAAAGGAATAGTCCTCTAGGATGTATTGATTTGACAGACTGAAAAATCATCCACAGTACTGTGTATTTATTACCATATATATTCCAAATTATTCTCAAATGTTAATTAACACCACAGTTCAAAGACATAATTTATTTTTTTCTGCCATCTTTATTCATTGCCCAGCTCTCACCACCATATAACAAGTGATTAAAAAGACCATGGTCAGATTAGGTGCACCTTAACCCCTAACTAACATAATTAACATATTTCAATAAGTCATTTCACATAATTTTTTTTAATCAGGTTCAACATAGAAATCCAAGTAAATAGAAGATCAAAGTTGAATCTAGAATTCTAGAATTTTGGATATTCTTTATGATAGTTGTATAAAGATTATCTTTCCACATTTTTTACCTTTTTTCCTTCTTCTTCCTTTTATAGAGTGAAACAACACTTGGATTCAGTTTGTATCAGCAAAAAAGGTAAGGCTTGTATATTTAGTTAAGACATTACCAGTTTCTTTTGGAAGTTGCAATAGTTTACCCCTTTTCTTTTGCCCCACTACTTTGGTACAGTTGTGGTGTATCTTCCAGTCGGAACCAACTCATAGGTGACCATCCAGCGAGTTTTCAGAGACTAAATTGCATAGTAGAAGAGTGTTCACCTTTCTCACTTCGAGCAGCTGGTGAATTTGTACCTCTTGTCTTTGGCTTGGCAGTGCAACTCCTTACTACTTTGATATTGTTGTTGTTAGAACAGTGCCATTGTGTTGACAGTTCATAGTGACCTAGTGAACAACAGGTCTGAATCCTGCCCTATTCTGTCCCCTTCACAACAGTCTCTGACACACTGGAGCCCATTGCTGCAATCATTCCATCTGGTTGAAGATCTTCCTCTCCTTCGCCATCCCTCCAGCTTTCCAAGCATAATGTCTTTCTCTAAGGAATTAATTCTCCTAGCAGCATACCCAGAGTATGTAATATAAAGCTTTGCCATCTTTGCCTCCAAATTGCCAAATGCCTTCTGGACATATCTATGTTGCATGATTTCTTCTTCTGCCATCTTAATTCATTGTTCAGCTCCCAGCAGCATAGCAAGTGACTGAAAAGACCATTATCTTAGTAAGGTCAATTTAATTCCCCAAACTAACATCATTGCTCCTTATTAATTTGAAAAGGTCCCTGACTGCAGACAGTCCCAGTGCAGTATGTCTCCTGATCTTCTGACTACTGGTATCAGTGTCTTGATTGTGAATTCACAAGTTGTTGTCAGTTTCAGTCTTTCTCGATCTATCATGATATTGCCTCTCAGTTTAATTGTGAGGATTTTTGTTTTCTTGATGTTGAGATCTATCTGTATTGAAGGCAACAATGTTTACTCTTCTGCAGCAAATGCTTTAGTTCCTCCTCACTTTCAGCAAAGTTGCCATCCACATAAAGAAGGTTATTGATAAGTCTTTCTCATGTCCTGATTCCACATTCTTCTTCATAGAGTCCAGCTTCTTAAATAATTTGACCAGCATACAGATTGAATAGGTAGTGAGAAAGGATGCAACCCTTACACACACCTTTCTTAATTTTAAACCATGTAGTGTTCCTTGATCTGTTCACACAGCAGTTTCTTGTTCTAGCTATAAATTTCATATGAGCATAATTAAGTGTTCTAGAATTCCATTCTTCTCAATGTCAGCCATAATTTGTTATGATCCACACAGTCAGATGCATTTTCATAGTCAATAAAGCACAAATAGACATTCTTTTGATATTCTTTGCTTTCAGCCATGATCCATCTGATATCAGCAATGATATATGCCACAGACTCTTCTAAATCCAGCTTGAACTTCTGGCAGTCCTCTATGTACTTTTCCAGCTATATTTTTTTTTTATTCAGCATTTTGGTTGCATGTTTGCAAACAATTGTCTTGTTTAATAATTTCCAATGTGGTTAAAACAGATTTTTCATTTATGTTTTTGGTTTTTTTTTCACGTTTCATTTGTATTTATAATTTCTTTTAAAAACTTTTATTTTAATACTTTTAAAGAACATTTACAGAGATTCTGGACTCTCATTCATTCATTGTTGCATTTATCTCCCTGCCTGGCCTTCCCACTGCATTTATAATTTTATTATCTCTGAATTTATTTTTGGATTTTTTACAACACACGAAGAAACTTATATAAAAGGCTAGTTTGCATTAGCCTGAAGAGTATAGTAAACTGATGAAGTAGCTTAGATAGATATGTGGATTTGTTTGTATTAAACCACAGATGCAGGTGTAAGATTTTTTTTTAACGTGTTAGTTTATCTCACTTCTTCCTTTTTTTTTTTTTAAAAAAAAGATAAATCACTCTTACTTAAATAGTGTGCGACAGAGAGTCCAGGGTGATGGTATGAGTGGCTCAAGAGCCTCTTTTCCAAGTTGATTAAAATTTCCAAAGACAACTAAAATCTCTAAATAGTAATCAAAAGGCTTGCAATTAATTGAGAAGCATTTATTCAGCAAAGCTAAAAACTTGATGAGAAAAGAAAAACAGGAAAGCATCAGCCCAGTCTGCCACTTTTCTGGATGAAAGAGCAGTTCTAGGACTTTGAGCAGCTAGAGAACATTGACCTATCCTGTTTCTTCTAGGATCTGTTTTGATGAAGGATTATATATAGTTGTTGGTGATGAGTAAATGTGAATCATTTCTTCTACCCTCAGCTCCCAATATATAACCAGCTTGTCAAAAAACCAATCCTTTTTTGCAGGAGAGCTGCTCTAATGGGCTCAGCAGCCGAATGGTAGGTCCCATGTCCCTTACATTCTTAAGACAGAAAATAACTTGTGGGTTGTTGATTTGGCATGTAATTGTTCTGCCCACGAAATGCCCCTCAAAGGATATCTGTTCACACGTATGAAAATTTAAGAGCATTTATTAAATTCCACATGTGGAGACTTTCTCCCTCAGTAGGAAGGTGGTGAGGGAAAAAAGCCCCGAGTCCCCCTCCACAATTGCTTTTATGGCTTTTCTGGGTGCCACTGTCAGGGCGGGGAGATTGAGATCATGGTTGGTGGGTCGGGGGATCAGTCCTGTGGGTCGGCTTTTGACGGGCTGGCTACTTTGCCTGCCTTTACTCTTTTTGTGTGACATACACACTAGTTAGTTCTTTACTTTGCAAGTACAGATAAGACTTTACCGGGGCATTTGTGTTTGCCTTAAGCTAAGAATTTTTATGGCCGGCTTCTGGTATTAATGGGGATTTATAAAAAATGGGGTTTATACTGTCCCCTCATATTGCATGTTGATTGGAGTCTGATTAACATACAATGCACTGGTAGCTTAATGGTATGGAATTACTCTTCAACACAAAGGTACATGGTTAGGATCCACTAGCTGCTGTGCAAGAGAAAGATGGGCAGTATCCTCCTGAGTGATTTCCTGCCTTTGAAAACCCATAGGAGGGTCAGCAGTGGATCGGTATACCCAATTCAGGGTATACAACAATAGCAACATTTGACAAAAAATGTGCAAGCCATGAACATTGTAATCTCTAAACCTTACTAAAAGGAATTAAAGAAAAAATAAGTATATGGAATGATTATACTGTGCTCATGGATCAGAAGGTCAGTATCATTAAGATGTCAATTCTTTCCACATTGTTTTATAGATTCAACTCAATCCTAGTGAAAACTCCCAGCAAAACTTTTTTGTAGAAATTGTCTATATGTAACAAATGATAAAATTCATATGGAAATACAAAAAACGTAGAATAGTCAAAATAACGATGTATGACTCAGTTACATTGAATATTACTACAACTTACCAGTGGTTATTAAACACATAAATAAGAAAGAAAATGTGACCTATAATCAAGAAAAAAAAAATCAGTCATAGAAACAGACCTAGATGTGTCAGAGACAATAATGGCACTGGATAGAGCAGGAGTAGTCACCTGCTATGAGTAAGGTCGCTATGAGTCGTAGGTGACAAGATGGCACATAACAACAGTAATAGGGATTAAACGGACCAAGGCAAGACCTGCTTAGATTAAAACATGTAATATAAAATGCAACAGTGAATGAATGGAAACCCCAAGTCTCTGTAAACTTTAATTAAAAAAGAATTACATCAGGGCAAAAAGATGCTCTGTTTTATGGGGGTGGGGGTGGAAACCAAACAAACAAAAAACAGACCTAGAAAGGACAGAGATATTGAAGTGGCAGACAGAGAATTTAATATGTCTTCTGGAATGCAAAAGATCGTTACAGAGGCTGAAGAGGAAGAAAAGACCAATGGATGGCAGGTGAGATTCTGAATATTGCATTAGTACACCAAGAAGCCAAAGCTAAAGGAAGAAATCAAAGAGCTGAACAGAAAATTTCAAAGGTCAGCTCAGGATGACAAAGCAAGATATTACAATGAAAAGTGCAAAGAACTGGAGTCAGAAAATCAAAAGGGCTGAACTCGCTCAGCATTTCTTAAGCTGAAGGAATTGAAAAACAAATTCAAGCCATGACTGGCAATACTTAAAGGTGCTTTGGGCAGAGTGTTAAATGATCTGAGAAGTGTTGCAGACTGAGGATCAAGTATATTAATAAGTATTGGTAACAAGACAGAACACTAAGAATGTAAGAGAAAAGAGGTAAAGCAGGAGGCGAACAGTTCTCGAACAACTGAAGCACTGGTCTCTGCCTCCCTGTGCCTTTACTAAAAATTGCAAGGGCACAAATCACAAAGAGAATTCAATGCAAATAAAGCTAAGATCTTTCTTGACTCTGGAGAGAGGAGTTAGCCAATACAATACAAGAATCCTGTAAATGCTTAAGGTTTGTCTTAGTGCCTAACCCCTGTAAACCTTTAAGGATTGCCTTAGTGCTTCAGGGTGAATTCCAACTTGTACCCACCTCCCTCATATCCTGATATAGAATTTTATTTATTTTAAATCTCAGCATAAAAGCTCGCTTCCCACAAAGAAACATTAAAAGAAGATGGAAGGAGTGTAGAGTCATAGTACCAGAAGGAGTTGGCTGACACAGAAGAATTTCATGAAATAGCCTTAGCAAATACGTATGGTGATTAAGGAGGAAGCTCAAGTTGCTCTGAAAGACTTGGCAAAAATCAAGGCTGCAGGAGTAGGCAGCATACCAGTTGACATATTTCAGCAAACAGACACTGCCTTGGATGTGCTCACTAAGTTGTGCCAAGAAATCTGAAGGACAACCACCTGGCCAACTGACTGGAAGATATCAATATTTGTTCCCATTCCAAAGAAAGGTGACCTGACAGTGTGTGGACATTCTCAAACAATATCATTAATATCACATGCAAGCAAGATTCTACTGAAAATTATTCAAAAACAACTGGTGCAACACATCAACAGATAGCTGCCAGATGTGCAGACTGGGTTTAGAAGAGGCCGTGGTACTAGGGATTTTATAGCTATTGTTAGATGGATCTTGGTACAATGCAGAGAGTACCAGAGGAATGTCTATCTGTGCTTC